AATTCGCCGTCTTTGATCAGATCGTGCCTGCAATTTTGTTCAGCGGACAATTTTGACATTCATTTGGCATGTTGTGTTTCTAGTCTACAAAGTTTAAAATGTAAGATTTACGGCTACCAAATTATATGACTTGTTATTTGTTAAGCTTGAGATAGTTGTTTGGTTCACCGTAAAACAAATAAGCCCGTGATATATTGGTCTCCTCTCAGCACAAGGAAAAAGAAAACGTTGAAAACATGACGCGCACATAGGATCACTAACATATTTTATCCGAGGTTTTCTGCTTACATTTGAAAGTGTAATGTGTTGCAGCTGTCTACTGTAATATCTTGTTTTTCGTCGAGATGTACCTTAGAAGAGGGTCTGGATAGGAGGGGGTACAAATGTTAGCAACCTGTTACAATTTCGGGCATTTATCAGTTCTCAGTTGGATTTTAGGCAATTTTTCAGTTGTCAGTTAAATGAATGTTAATAATTAACTTGGCAAGTTAATTATTACTTTCTCACCCTATTATTAGCTAGAAAGGCACCTATACAACGTGAACTCAAGAATGAAGTCAAAAATTGATAAAATAAGAGCTCCTTTTTCTCAATTCTGGGTAAAATAATTCCAAGATCTTCCAATTCCAAGTGACTTTCAGTCTTTGTTTGAAGGGTGTTTAAGTAAGTTACAACTCTGCTGCACACAAACTTCTGTTTGCCCATGTGCAACTTTGAAACATTCCTATTCCGTCAACCACTGATCCGGTTAAGATGTTGGAAGGAAGATCGTTAGAAAGACGATCCTCCTTCCAAAAGTTATTGGTTTAATGTTTTGTTTTACATTACGTCGATTGCGATTGGCTCCTACGAAATGATCGGAAAGGAATGTTCTTTTGTCTACTTTTCAATTAGGTTATTAGAGATATCTAATGCTAGTGCACCTAAGAAATCCGAACGAAAATGGGCGCGAATTGGCCGCCCGGATCTAGAAACCATAATTAGGGTAATATCTTTATCTTCTCGGTCAGAAAAGTCGTTTTTTGAGTCCGTGTCATATTCGTCTACATATGTTCGCATCTCAGCAACTGACACTTCAACAATACAGTCCTCAAGAAATTTGACATCTGCCACATTCCCAGACGCTAAAGTGCCGTTTCCGAATCAATTTGACAAAAGGTTACAACAGCCTTAAAAATACCAGCATTGACGGTCATCGCAGAGTTAACGGTCGAGTTGGGTATCAAAGATGATATAACCGGTATGTGACATATGACCTTGATGTGGATGGTCCACGCAGTAATTATTAACGAAATGTGACATTATGGCGTACTCCTACTGATATGTAATGAAAAACGTACTTATACTGGACAAAATAAATCAACTATCTCTATTTTATATACAGTTTTTAGGATATTTAGGGCGATCCAGTCTTTTGTCAGCTGTCAGTAAAAGCCCACCACATATTTCAGTTGTCAATTAGATTTTCAGTAATTTGTCAGTTGTCAGTTAAGAATTATGCCCTTTTGTCAATTTTCAGTTAACCCCATCCAGACTCTCTTAGAAATTGCTCCATTACGAAAGTGCGCATTATTCATGAAAGGTGGGGTGGGGTCAACAATCAATTTCGTAGTAAGTATCAGACAGAAGTGTAATAGCCGCTCTTAAAAGTTACAAATAATAACCGATAATCCACTAATGTTAACATCAAAACCCGGAAGAAAAGCTCCTTCGTGCGTAGACGCTTCTACTTTTCGTAGTGATTCAAGTAAGGAAGAGAATATGCTTCCCCGAACTCCTTTAGTCCGAAAACGTTAAAATGCACAGTTGGCGATGCAATTGATAAGAGAAACTGTGCACCAATGACGTCGGCATGCATTTCAAGATTGTAGGAGTGTCAGACTCAGTGACATTGTTAGAAGGTGGGTACATGAAAGCAGGATTTGCGACGCCGACTCTCGTGTATCTGCAAACATCCCAGGCATAAAGTGATATGAAAGGCAACTAGAATCCTCTCTTTCGCATTTCGCGGAACCTCGTGTTTTCGCGAATGTCTCTGAGGTCGTTAGGGGGCAAACACAGCAAGTTACTTAAAGAAAGATTATGGCGAAAAGTAGTTTCGATGTCCAAGAAAACGATTTGGAAGATACATGATCGCTTCTTTGCCACCGTTTTTTTTTTTTCAGGGATGGATTTAGCCAATGTTTATACGAGGAAAACGCAAGTTTTTGTGTGTTTCCACTTACGCAACACGCCTCGCATATTTTTCGCTACTCCAACTTTAGTTGCTAATATCTAGATAATCAATAAGAATATCGAAGAAGCCTGACATNAAACTGTGATGCCAGTAAATATTTTTTGCAGTCGAATGCACGTAGGTTTCTACTTTTTTTCGATGCACTCTCTTTTCTTAGCGACAAGAGTGTGTCTTTCAGAGGCAACCTTCTTTTACATAAAACATAAAAGCAGAAGTAAATATTACTTCATATTTTACCTGCTTCGTCTAAAACTATCCTGATTCTTGAGGTGTCTTTCTTTAACAGTATGTCCAAAGAACTGGGTACCTTTTCAAACCTCGTGCTACAAGTTCTCTTCCAAGTCACTCTCCTGGAATGCAGCAAAAGCTTCCTGCGAAGCACAAAGATCCCATCTCGTCGTGATCAATTCTCGAGCTGAAAATCAAGGGATTGGCACGTGGGTAACACATCATGCATATCATATTGGTTTGTATAGGGATCCTAAAGACAACAATCGCTGGCTCTGGGTCGATGGCTCGCGACCAAATTTTACCAATTGGAATTCTGGAGAGCCCAATAATGTTGGAGGGAGCGAGGAGTGCAGCAACATATATAGCAAGAGGTACGGATGGAGGTGGAATGACCTCACCTGTGGTAGTTCACTGCCTTACATTTGCGAAACCCGTGGTGAGTCTGTCTAATCAAAATAGTCACAGCGGCTGAGTAAAAACGAAAAAAAAGAGGCCAGAATGAATATCAAAATAATACTCTAGAACCTCAATGCTAATAAAAGTTAGCCAAGAAATCAAACTGTCCAAAAATAAGTAGCTCAATATCTCCTTTCAAACTATGGAAATAACACTCAAATCCTTCTGATTTAAGTTCCTTGACGCTAACAGTTTGGATTTCAAAAAATCTTTCAATTGTCGCTTTAGTTAAATCACTTGGCGTAATCGCTATCGATCGTTTCTGATCTGGGCAAGGCTAAAATTTGAATCACACAACGCTATTATCTGTTGCGGTTGTTCTTCGGCATCTCTTGGAGTTATTCGAAATAAAATATAAATTATAATTGTTTTACGCTTAATGTCATTAAACGACCCAATTTCGGGTCGTTTATTTTTCCGGAAATGGAAAGCACCTGCACAAAGATCCCATCTAGTCGTGATCAATTCTCGAGCAGAAAATCAAGCGATTGGTACGTTGGTAACACATTCTGCATATCATATTGGTTTGCATAGGAATCCTAAAGACAAGAAACGTTGGCTCTCGGCCAACGTTTACCAATTGGAATTCTGGAGAGCCTAATAATGCTGGAGGGTGTGAGGAGTACAGCAACATATACATAGGAAGAGGCACGGATGGAGGTGGAATGACCTCCGCTGTGGTAGTTCACTGCCTTACATTTGCGAAAACAGTGATGAGTCTATCTGATCATGGTCAGCCACACCAAAGTAAAAAAAAAACAGGGCGACTGATCAAAAAAAAAAAGCAAAACAAAAAAACACGACGGAATGAATATCAAAATAATATTCGAGAGCCTCAATACTAATTAGGGTTAGCCATAAAATCAAATTGTCCAAATAAAGACAGCTCAATATCTTTTGTCAAACTATGGAAATGTCTCTCAAATCCTTGACGCCAACAGTTTGGATTTCGAAAAATCTTTTAACCTTCGCTTTAGTTAAATCACTTGGTATAATCACTATCGATCGTTTCTGACCTGGTCAGGGTTAAAATTTGAATTACACAACGCTATCATGTGTTGAATTCTTTATTTTTTCTTCTGCACCTCTTAACTTTATTCGAAATAAAATGTAAGTTATAACAGTTTCCGCTCAGTATCATTACAGAGCCTAATTTCGGGTCGTTTATTGTGACGGAAATGAAAAGCAACTGCACATACAATAAAAAAAAAAAAAAAAGAAAACATGCAATACAAAAGAAATATAAGTTACAACTGTTTTTCTTTTAGCGTCTTTACCAAACCCATCTTCCGGCGATCGCTTCTTGAGACGGGAATGAATAGCATATATGCACATGCAAACCGCGGAAACTGACTACACTGAAAGCTCGCAGGTCGAGCGAAAATGAACTGTGATGCTGGGAAACAGTATTTTTGCTGTCGAATGCACGTTGGTTTCCTCTCTATTTCGATGAACTCATTTTTCTTGGCCAAACCAGAAAAAAGAGGCAAACAGGCACACACAGGAGTGTGTCTTTCAGAGGCAACCTTCTTTTAAACTAAATATAAAGGCAGAAATAATTCTTACTTCACATTTTACCTGCTTCGTCTAAAACTATCTTGACTCTTGAGGTGTCTTTCTTTAACAGTATGTCCAAAGAACTGGGTACCTTTTCAAACCTCGTGCTACAAGTTCTCTTCCAAGTCACTCTCCTGGAATGCAGCAAAAGCTTCCTGCGAAGCACAAAGATCCCATCTCGTCGTGATCAATTCTCGAGCTGAAAATCAAGCGATTGGCACGTGGGTAACACATCATACATATCATATTGGTTTGCATAGGGATCCTAAAGACAAGAATCGCTGGCTCTGGGTCGATGGCTCACAACCAAAATTTACCAATTGGTATTCTGGAGAGCCTAATAATCATGGAGGCAGCGAGGACTGCAGCCAGATATATAGCAAGAGGCACGGATGGAGGTGGAATGACCTCCCCTGTCGTAGTTCACTGCCTTACATTTGCGAAACCAGTGGTGAGTTTATCCGATCCTGGTCAAACCACACAAACTTATTAGATGCAGTCAAACCGAAATAAAAAATAATCTTAGCGGCTGATAAGAAAAAACGACAAATTGAGTATCAAAATAATGCTCCAGAGCCTCCATGTGGTTAAAGGTTAGCCATCTAATTAAATCATTGAACAGTGCAAAAAAAAAAAAGGTCAATATTCTCTCTCAAACTATATTAGGGTCTCTAAAATCTCAATTTTAGCTGCTCGACGCGGAAAGTTTGGATCTCGAAAAATCGTTAAACTGCTAAACCGGTTTCTACGTTTTCAAGAAAACTCAGTTTATGGTCATTTCCACGAATTTACCTCCAAACGGATTTTTGAATTACCAATCTTAACCTAAAAGAACATCACAACTGGCTTCTGCCCCCAAATAATTCTAGGGAGTTTAAAAAACCATACGGTTTCTTTCACAGACAACGTGTTACAGACCATGCCATGCTGCACTGATAAATATTTTGTGCTCCACCAAACATCGAATGTTTTCAAAGTCCGCAAGTACAATACAACCCAGATAAAATTGGGAAGGGATTTGACTGCCACTTAAATACTGTTAGGGGTTTTGAAGTGCGTTCTTTATTTTATCACTGAGAGACCAAGAGGAGCTCTTAGAGATAAAATTTATATAACAAGCTATAAAAACTGATATTAATTGAATCTCGAATCAAAAATTTCTTCCTGGAAAGTTTCAACAGCCCTTTTAAAAGCTCTTAACTTCATTTGCTAGTAATTAAAGTTCCTCCCCCACTACATGCAACCGACCCCAAGCGTAGAAAAACGCCAGTAACCGTATCGTCATTGCGTCTGCCTTAATTTCTACGTCTGTTACAGTTTGTGTGTTGAATTTGGTTGGTGGTGTGAGTTTTTTAGACAGACCGCAGGCAAAATAGAGCAAACTAAAGTGATCCCGGATTACCTTCGATGCTGAATATTACATTACTCCAACAACTTTTTGATCCCTTATAAAACATTCATCATCAATAATAGAAATCATCAGTTCTCCTATAGCCTCAGGGATAGTCCATGGCTGGTCGAAAACGATGTTTGCCCCTTTACATACACATTCAGTCATTACCATCGATCAACCTGTTTCACTCGCACCAGTGGTTACCAGCTTAGCTGCTTTTTCTGCTCATTACTGACACATCAAATCCCACGTCTGAGTAATATATACAAAAAATTGTAACTCTCTCGTTTAGCTTACGTTTTAGTTTTTTGTACATGAACGAAGGAATCTAATAATAAAAATATCTATTTATTCTTGCTTCAAAATTTTACGTTTTCTGTCCGTCCTGAACTAAAATAAACCTTTTTTGCAACACTCAGATTGTATCTCTAATTTCAGATATTGACGAGTGTGCTGTGTCAAATGGTGGCTGCAGTCACAAGTGTGTCAATAATGCAGGAGGCTATAAATGTGAATGTCCAGACCCAGAGCTGAGCTTATCATTAGATAACAAGACATGTAGTGGTAAGTTTATACTGGTAGAAATAGAAAACAATGCAACATTTGTTAGAAAAAGTAAAATTTTCTCCATCCCACTTTTTTACCGATAAAACTGAAGCAGGATTCCCTACGTATGACATTCCACTCGCTGATAATTGCATAGTGAAAGTTTTGCTCCTTTCCCTTGTTATAAGATATAATGATTTTAATAATAATTTTTATTATTTCTATAGCGCAAAATTCATTAGATATATGATCTAATTTCACTTTATATAATGAAACTTCTATTTTTTTGAAGCTCCAGGAGTGGATGTCCAATGCAACAGTAACAACATGACCATTATCATTCCCAAGTTCCTCCTCCGTGGTCTCGACCGTGAGCATCTTCGACTCCTAGACACTAGATGCAAGGCTGGGGAAACCAACTCCCACTTTTATCTAACGACTCCGCTGACTGGCTGTGACACAAAACGCAGGCTTACATCCACAGCTATCGTCTATTCCAACACAGTTTTTGAAATCCCTGTGGCCGCTAAAGACGTCGTAACACGCGTGCGGGAAATAGAAATACCATTCAGCTGCTACTTATCCAAATACGGCGAGGTATCATCCATTGGTTGGAAGCCAAGCAACAGAAAACTTGTCTTCAGCGATGAAGGCAAAGGGAACTTCACAATTTCTCTGAATATGTTCCCCGACAAAAGATTCGTGAGTCCTTACATGAAGGATGACTTTCCTGTTGATGTAGTGCTGCGCAAACTTCTGTTCTTTGAAGTATCAGTAACATCGACGGACAAGAAGTTGTCAATCATGGCTGATCGATGCTATGCCACGCCCACCCAGGATGAGAAGAGTGCTCTTAAGTACGAATTTATTAAGAATGGGTATGTGAAAGATAATTGATAAAAATGTGTTGTTTCTTTTTGGTATTTTCAAACCGGCACGCAGGTTCTCTTTAGTCTTTTATGAACTTGATCTACACTCCCTGCACCTTAGGACAATAAACAATTGGTTCATGCTTAGCGTGAGTATATCGAGTTATGGATACACTTGGGAGGTTTGGAGAGCACGAGGGAGCGCAACTCACAACTCTAGCTTCTTGAGCGCTCTCCAAGTTCTCTAAGTATTGGTTAGCATAGTTACCTTTCATTTTGAGCTCCTAAAGGCCTATCTCAATCGGAATGGAACGGAATTCATTGTTGAAGGGTCTGAAACCTCACCGCTAAACTCGAAGGATACTTGCGCTGAAGTGAAACTGCATACGTCATGTTATGGATGCACGGCCGTGCGGTATCTAAGGAATTTTAATTTCACCATAGTGGCAACCATAGCAGCACCTTAGAAATTAGGTAGGACTGCGCCCGCGGTTTGTTATAGCTAAATGAAAGTATAAGGTACATCATGAAATAGGGATGAAGTCCAACTGATATGTATCTATATTATTAGATGCCCGAATGACGTCACCGTTAATTATCACTCTGTGCCATCATCGAATGCTCAGCGGTTTAGCCTGGAGGCTTTCAAGTTCATTGCAGATCATCCATTCGTATTCGTGCACTGCCACGTGACTGTATGCAACACAACCAACGCAGCCTCGCAATGCACAAGAAACTGTTTATCAAATGGCCGAGGAAAACGAGCAGTGAGTGATCACGTGAATGATGAAGTGTATTCTTTGGCCCAGGGCCCGATCCACCTCGCACGAGGCAAGCGAGAAAGAGAGGAAGAGAAAGCCTTCGCTAAAAGTGGTAAATATCATGAAATAAAAGCGCTATTAGTGTGTGGTGGTCAATACGACATGCAAGTGGTGATTCTGATGTTGATATTTATAAATCTTTGGAATTCGTAACGAAAGGCCTTTCTGAAGAGGATGTGCCATAATTTGCCATCGGGTCGTAATTCTACTTTACCATTTTCTTTCTTTATTTCCCAAGGATCCA